TAGACCTTTCACCTACATATTTTTTTTTTTATTAGTCAATGTTTATATTTTTTCATATCTATTGTTACCTGCTTTTCTCTTAACCCTAATGAAGGCCTGAACTTCAGCCTGAACTGAAACGTCGGCAAAAATAAAAATAAATATACTTATTTTTTTCGCTGATCTCCTCACCTAATTCTTCTCTTCAATTATTCACTACAGTCAAACATCACACCACAAATATATATATATATATATATATATATATATATATATATATATATATATTTTTTTTTTTTGGTGTTGCACTGAATTCAATTAACCACAGTAAGAAAACAAAAACAACAAAAGTTAACTTATTGATAATTATTGATAGTTAAAAATTGATAATTTTGTTTTCATTATTTCTTAAAACCTATCCCTTCTATTCCGAGTATATTAAAAGAATATATTATATTACATATTTACATAATTTTATTACTAAAAGAAAAATAAAACATTTAAGAAAGTAATTTGATTTATTATACTGTAAGAATTGTATGAGATATTATATGTTACAAGCACTAAAGATGATTCAAGCATTATAATCAAAAATAATTTTGTTGACAGAAATAAGTTATTGTAGTTAAATATTTGAAATTCTTCAATTATGGTCAGTGTGTGGAGGATTTTTGTGTTAATAACAATGTCTCGCAGCTGGGATTTCCTTTATCATAGGTTAGTACATCTTTACAATTTGTGGGTTTTTTTTTTGGGGGGGGGGAGGATTTTAATACATTTGAATGGATTTTAAGACTTACATTAATAATAATATATATTAATACCATTTGATTTTCAAATAGCTTTTTTTTTATCTTTCTGAAACAATTTTCATAGATTTTACACGTATGAGTGAGACGTATTTCACTCACACGTGTATCTTGATGATAAACTACGTATTCTTAATATGTTCGAAATTTGATACCCTTTTGGATAGCCTTCCCTCCAAAAATTAAGCAATGTCTCAAAGGTAGTTGTATAAACAATTTACATGAATTTAAAAAAAAATTATCAATAAATCTTAACAAAACATTTCTTTCATACTAGAATAATTTCGAATTCTATTACATTGAAGAATTAACAAAAAATAATCAGTTCTTATGTGCATATTAAATGAATTAAAAATACATAGTTAAAAATTACGGTTTTCATTTGCTCAACTTAAAATGAACTGCTTCGTATTAACTCGAATATGACAAAACAGCTAGGCTATAAAAGGTGTTTTATTAATTTTGTATAGCGTGAGAGCTTTGTAGAAAATGTATTGATAGTTTTGGAAAACAATTAAATCTTGGTAATAAAAACAGACGTGAAAAATTTGTTTTATTTTTTAAATATATATGTTGTGTTATTAAAATTCAATTATTATTATTGTTTTGGTTAATTATTTTCGTTAGTTATTTTCAATAATTAACCTTTGACAAATTGACAAAGAAAAAAAAAATTAACTCTCCTCAATTATTTTCTATTCACCTCTCCTTTCTTTATCCTCCGTTATATTTTTGAGCTCAATAACCTACCAGCTAAATATTTTATTAAATGATGTAGATTATTCGATAAAATAGTTTTAGTGATTTTATTTTATTTATTTGGCGCTGATGACCTAGATGTATTGCACCAAAAATATCATAACAACCAACCAACGATTTTTTAGAATAATTTATGTTAATTGTTTAATATATAAATGTTGCATTGAATTATAAAACTCAATAGGAAAAATAAAAATTGTGTTTTTCTTAAAGAATGAATTACCAAAAAGGGTGTGATTCTATTGGGTTGGCAAATATGTCCTTTTGGTTTTTCAGGGTGACATAAAACTCAATGTATTATAGACATAAAATTAATTTTACAATATATTGACCATTATTTAATATGACATTTTCCCATCTTTCCACTAATTGCATAATGTCATGTTCATAGAATGTCTGGAGTTTATTGTTAAAAAAATGATCCAAGTGGTTTTTGATTCCCTATTTCTTTTGGAATTTCTTTCCATTCATGGGGTTCTGCAGAGACCGGGATGATAAGTAGTAGTCGATTGGAGCTAGGTCTGGTGAATAGGGAGGGTGGGGCAAAAGGTCCTATCCAAGGCTCAATAATTTATTGCGAGTGACCAATGAAGTGTGGGGTCTAGCGTTGTCTAGATAAAACACAACACCCTTCCGATCATTCATAACTCTTCAGGATATTCTCCAAATTCTATGTTACTATATCCGTAGGAAAGCAGAACGATTGTTCTACAAAGCCGTATGAATGTTTTTTTGATTTAATGCCTACATAAGGAATAAATAAATAAAAAACTCCTTAGAGGTTTTTATTTTTTATCCCCATTAGTAATGTGTTTATGAAGATCCTGTTGTGTAGTTTATGTGGACCTAAACTCCTGCTAAATTTCTTGTAGACAGCTAAAGTCGTATTGACGTTATAACATTTTTTGTGGTTTTCGAAGAAAAATCATGTGAGAGACCCAAATATTAAGCCTGTAAACATAGCCGAGCTCGTGCAAATGGTTGGCAAACCAAATTTGACAGGTGCGTTCAGGCATCATCACTATAAACACTGCAAAATTTCTATGATCTTCTGCAGTTTTTAGAATGATACAATAAAACATGTTGATAATGAATGATATTTTCCTCCATATTCACAGTACAATAGCAAACACAGTAATAAGCTAGTTTGAACAAGAGTTAACAGATATAGTTGTTGACATATTACAAACAGGATAAACAATCCAACTTAGGGATTAATTCATCAGATAAGAAGTGTATCATAGTGACAAAAAAATAAACAGAAAGGACTTATTTACCAACCCAATATTTATTTTAATGTAATATTTGTGAAATAGTTTTGCAATTCATAAATATAGTTTTAATAAAGTAAATTTTAATTCTGGGATTGTTGGCGATGTAATGAGGTTTTAAAATAAGCATAACCTTATAGAGGAAGGTTTTAGTGCTTGACTCATTAAATGAAGTTGACAAGTGCATGTCCATAATGATTTTAATTATATTATATAGGTATGTAAAATAAAGTATTAAATGAAAAAATTCATAAGGAAATATAATTAGGCTGTGATGATTGTTTTATTTGTTAAAGGTTTCTTACTTTGAAAATGGCCTAAAGGGCTGAAACGTTGGTGTAAAAAAACAAATAAACTAAGACTATAGTTAAAAAAAATTATAAATCATAATTTGAATAAGATCCAGAGTAAATTCTAACAGATGTTTGTGAAAGAGATTAAGGAAGTAAAAAAACCGAACAGTTCAAGGTCTTTCATACAAAGAAAAGATTTCGTAATGGTATTCACTCAGAAATATTTTACAACCACAAAAATATAGTTTCTGTCAGTTTTTTTTTGTTTATTAATTAGAACTACCGATTTTCATGGCATATCTAATAATGACTTTTAAAAAACTACAATTAACTACTTCACTAACAATAAAACAAAAATTGGTTTTAATTTGATTAATTAATGATGTGTTAATATGTATTTAATTAGTATCACATTTTCCAGTAAAATTCTAATCTCATTACTAGGAACTTTATCATATTACGCAACGTCAACGAAATCCTTGGGTGCTGACACTGACAATGACTCCATTATTCAACTACAGTGCTCTATTGTAAAATAAAATATCTAGTTCAGTAAAAATATAAATATTTGTTTGGAACCTTCTGTTGTATTTATTTAGTTAGTCCTAGAAAAACTTAAAGCCAAAATGTGCTGACTATCCTTTTATACTCCAGAATAAGAATAAATGAAATTCTGTTTTTTTTTTTTTTTTGTTTTTTTTTAAAGAAAAGTAAATTTGTGAATACTAATTTCATGTTGTTATTTTGATTTAGAGAAACGCATACAATAAATAACAAAACTTAATAGTTGGAAATTTAAGAATACCTGTGATTCACAGGTTATTATTTGTAGTGATAACATGGTCGGTTTTATTCCTAATGTGTCTGATATTCGGAACCGTTTTTTATACTCCTCCCAAAACATTTTAAGCAGTGTCTCCAAGACACTGAAAATGTGTATAAGCAATTTCCAAGGATTTTAAAGAATATCAATAAATCCTAACGAAACATTCCTATCATAGCTGATGAATAGTTAGGACGCAGTCCATTTAAGATTTTTATTATTGTCGACGTTTCAATCCAAGCTTGTGGTTTATCATTTTGGTAACATGCCCCCATGAAAAAAAACATGCTTGGATTGAAGCGTCGACAACAATAAAAATCTTAAAATAACCGCATCCTAAATATTTATCCCTATTAAATGCAGAACAGTTTCCTAACTTCCTTCAATAATTCGAACATTCCTATCGTATAAGAATCATTTCTAATTTTATAACATCCTGACAAAAAAATTAACCAAAAATTAATCAATTTTTTATACACATTTACTGTAATAGAAATTCATAGTTTAGAATTTAGATTTTAATTTATTGTAGTTAAAAATTGACTGTTTTGCTTTGACTTGTATATGTCGGTTTTAACCGGCGTTAATTATTTTTGATATAAGTAAGAAATAGGATTGTCGTTTTTCACATTAGTTAAAGGCATTCTCTATAAAAATATATTTTTGGTCCCAATTGACCCTGATCAACATTTAATATAGACTACAAATTCAGGACGGCCACGAAAACTCGGGCGCATATGTATATACAATAAATACACTTGTCTAACTGTACAAGAATTATTTTAATAAAAACTGCCTGTGATAATCTGAAGGCATTAAAAGATATATTTAGTTGCTAACAATGGCATTGTAATATAACTTAATTCATCTTGTGGCTTGTTGTAAATTTACTTTTTGTACGTATGGAATCTAGCCTTAAAAACTGTACCGAAAACAAAAGTTATACGTAAACTATTAATGAAGAAAAATGTTGTAATTTTCCTTAGTACTCTCCATTAATAGTACTTCTTATAATAATTATTATTATATTGTTCAATTGCTAAATTATATTTAATTCAGCAGTTACCTCTTTTTAGTTTCACTTAACGCCTTCTCTTTCCCGACGACGTCCCATTGAGCAATTGGAGAATCAGCAGGTAGTTCCGTGACTCCATCCAACTCAAGATCCGGAGGTACGATGATTCTCGGTCTCTCCTTATCGTCTTTTTCTGAGTCCACCGAATTCCCTTTAGGCCTGTAGAATCCGCCGCCGAAGCTGCCGAACCCTAACCCACCGCCTCCTATAGGTATCGGAATAGGTAGAGGTATAATCCCGGGCATGTTCCATCCTTTCTTCTTCTGTTTATAGTCGTAGCCGCCACCGCCGTAGGACTGAGGGTACTGAGGAAACTGTTGAAAAGATCCTTGTGAATAGCCTCCATATCCAGGGTAAGATCCGTGTGGGTATCCAGCATTACCAGGGTAAGACCCATATGGATAACCGGAATTTCCTGGATAAGATCCTGATTGAGGGTAATGTCCGGACTGTGGGTATTGAGAGTAGGGAGGAGGGTTACCATGTCCGCCACTCTGAGGGTAAGGTGAAGGATTCTTGGAGTACGGAGGTGGTGGTCCGGGGTTGTACGCAGGTGGAGGTTGCTTCCAGCCGGGGGCAGGAGGGTGCTGATTGTTCTGCGTATTCCATCCTGGAGCAGGAGGCTGGTTGTAGCTGGGATTATATGGAGGCGGTCTGGAATCGTGGTTCCAGCCTGGATTGTAGGAGGGAGGCCTGGAGTCGAAGCTGGGAGGCGATGGCTGGCGCGGGTACTTGGGCTGGGAGGGGGTCTTCTTACCGCCTCCCCGGCCGCCGATCTTGCCTATCTTGATGCCGCCCCATTTGATGCCCCAGACCGAAGCGCAGACAGAAAGCACTAACAGAACCACTCCGCACCACTTCATCAGAACAACTGAGGCTGACTCATTGCGTCAGGAGGTCAGTGTCGCCGGTGTTGCCAGATCTCCGTCAGGCTTTCCCTGGTAATGCGCTATCTTACCCCAACAAGCTCATATCTCTCTATTTATCTCTGCGACGATCGGGAAACAGTAGATGTTATAAACATAATAAATTCTTTAGAGTACTTCTAAAATAGTTTAAATATATATTATTTAAAAACACTTCATCATCGCGATAATATACTCAGACGTCCTTTATTAAGATTTTTATTACTTTTGTTTTTAAAGCGATGAAAACAATGTTTTAGTTCGCCATAAATTTAGAACCGGCTGTTAAGCTTAAATATAAAATATAATAAGTAACAGCACAAGAATGTTTTAACAAGTGATAATAATAAAATTTAATTAATATTTTTCTTTTAGCAAAATTTATTGTCTGCGGTTGAGGTGTAAAAACCTTTTAATTGTTGTCATTTCTCTCATAACTACACGAATTGACTTATTTTTTAATCTTAAAAAGATTATTATAGGTTTAAATATGTTTTTTATAAAAATAGTAATGATAACAGAAAGTTTCATTAAATGAATTTTTAACTCCGATGAAAAAAAAAATTTTTCGAGAAAAAAATTTAATATTTAATATTTGTATTCAAATATTTTATTCCGTGGTACAGACCTCTTTTCATCGAATATTTAAAATCCGCCTGAAGCTTCGTGAATAGTTTCATCTCATATAGCTATTTTATTTACGAAAACTCTTGGAATTGAGGCGTTTTCTGGGGAGGGCCAACTTTGTCAATTTAATCAGGTACTAAAAACTCCTAAATACCCATCTGCATTCTATTTGAATCGCAAGATAATTTGATCACAAAATCGATAAAAAAGGTGACCTGCAAAAATATTGGCCCGTTTGCCCTATACAGCATCGTTATTTTGAAAATTGGGGGGTGTAGGTCACGCCAAACGGCTCAATATTTTTTCTTTTCTTTTTTCTCTATTTTCTGATCAAATTACCTCAAAATACAAGTAAGAAGCAAATGGGTATTTACGAGTTTTAAGTACCTAATTAAATAGACAAAGCTTGGTCCAGATTGAAAACGCCCCAATTCCAAGAGTTTTCGTAAATAGAATAGTTGTTGGTTACGATGAGATGAAACTATATACGACGAGATGTACTACGGAATATTTAACTTGCTCAATTTTCTGAATAGTTGGTTCTAGATACGATAATAATAGATGAACTATAGATTTATGGTGAATGATGTCTAATTTAACTTGAACAAACTGAGAACATGTTCTTTTTTTTTCTATTTGTGTACATATTGAAAAAATCTTTAGGTACTTCAAATTTGGATTTAATTCTCAAAAATAATATCACTGTTGGTGCAAAATATCGTTTGTAAAATTTTTCCATGTTTATTCTATTTGTTCCAAAGATGAAATTTTGTAGTATACAACTGCAATACGTAATTTAATACTATGAAAAATAGAAGAGGGAAATAAAATATAAAATTATACTGATGAATCATAAAGAAATAATCAATATTTCTGATGTTCACATACGACCTTTTGCCCTAATGGTATTGATATATAACTTCCAGAAAATTCGATTTTTGAATTTCGTCTATATGTCACTACTATTTTATTATGCTATTTTTTAACCCCATCAGTTTTCAAAACAAAACTGGTTAAAACAATTCAACAAAATACTTCGTCTTTAAACAAAAAACATGATTTCATTTTTGTATGAAACTGTTCATTGAAAATGAGACGAACAATACCTTATTAGGCTGTGGTGTAATGATCATGAAACGATCTGTGCAAGTTTGTTACAGTTCATCTATAGTGATAAATTTCACGATTTTAATTTATATTTGGATTAATAATCATTTTTTAAAAAAATTAGAAATATAATTTTCGATTTTTAGTGTAATAAATTAAAAACCGTTTAGCCGTGATTTAACAGTTATTTGACCTTGAGTGCCTTTATGATGTTTATTTCCTTCTATTTTAATTGTATCTTTTTATATTTATAGAAATTTCTTATTTACTACAATGGAATATTATTTGTTATACAAAATTAAAATTATTATCTATTACTTGAATAAATCACACAAAAGGATGATTTTACACACTAATAATTTCTAAAGCACTACCGATCTTAAAAACCTGTTTGTAAGATGAGGAAAACTGAGTACGAATTTGTTTTCTTTCAGCAGGCTATCACAGGAGTCCTTAATATTTTTTTCTTATTTTATTTAACTCATGAAACAAGTTTATTCTACCATCTGGTTATTTTTTGAAAAAAGTACACACACACATATATATATATATATATATATATATATATATATATATATATATATATATATATATATTATTTTTTGATATTATAATTTAGTTTTTTACAGAATAATGATCAAGTATTTTAGAAATATGACTTCTGTCCAATCAGACAAGCGTACACCGCACTTTTCGAAATCTAACGATCAAGGTAATAAATTCTATTCCCCAAAGCGTTGAATTCATTTATATAATCTACTGAATCAACGATAATCCACAACGAGTCTGCAAGAAGATTTTTTGAAAGATAAATGCCTGTCAGGAAGAGATCACGGTGTGGTAAATCAGCGATGACCAGGTGTTAGCCTGTTGCTCGGCCTAAAGAGGAGTCAATAAATATCCTTGTCTAGCGAGTATTATCGGAAAAACAAAATAATATATTTTTTAATTTATTTATTTAGACATATAACAATATGTTACTTGGACAATAGTTACAGTGATATATTTTTTGTTTTTCTTTAAACTTATTTATTGAGAGATATTACAATCTGTCACAATGAAGGAGATTTATAATAGTGTTCAAACAGAACATTCACAGTCCATTCACAATAAATAAAAATAGTTAATATAGAAAAATAATAATACCAAAATTAAATGTATATAAACTAAACTAAAAAAAAAAAGGAACTAAGCTAATGAAAGTAACAACTCGAATACATACATGCTTCTATACAATAACTAAAAAAAAAATCACTCACTCAAGATCTCTGATCCAAGCCTTTCTCACCACTCATGGAAGGAAAGGCAGGACTCTAGGAGATCCCAGCGACCCTCACTCAGCCGTATTATTAAAGACCAGTAGAGGCGGTATAATCACGCAATAGTGATATATGAAAACATTCATACCAAAATAATATATTAAAAAAAAATATGGATGAGCTGTTATAATAAAAATTAAAATATTTATATATTACAAATGGTTAGTATTAGTAGGTTGTAATACCGATAATAATCGTTACATACATACATATATACATTTTCTACCGGGTCTATGTATACATATGTACATATTTATATATACACCCCGTAGAAAAATAGAAATACATATGTACATATGTATATACATACACCCCTTAAAAAAATAGAAAAAATACTTCAACGGTTACTGTAAATAAATAAAACCGGAAACTCTTCAACTGATTTATTTATAATCTCAATTTAAATATGTACAAATTCAATAAAATTAAAATACTCACCTGTGATTATTTATAAAAAAAAAATATATATATATATATATATTTTAAAACTGGATAATTTTACCTCACAGTCAAAATGATACACCTTCTTATTAACTTATAAATACCATTAATTAAGTTCAACACATTGTAGGCAAGCCATTATTTTTTACCACTCCTTTCAGTCTGTCTGTAATGGAGTCGGCCATTTTTCTCCGGGTGATTTCGGGATTAGCCTCTTCCATTCTTCGAGAAGATATTTTTTAGTCTTCTTTGCTAGAACTTCTAGTTCCAATTTTGCCCAGAGGTGTTTAATCACATTAAGATTTTGTGACTGTGGTGGTGTTTTTATTGCTTTGGGGCAGTGATAAAGTAGCCATTCTAACCATTCCTTATCTAACACAGCAGAGTGTTTAGGTTCATTATCCTGATAAAAAGAAAGTTTGTTTTTTAACCCAAATTTTACACAATTTCTTTCAAGTTTCACATCAAAATGTCAAAAAGTAAAAATGTTGATTGATTAGAATAAATCATTGCTTTTAATCTTATATAAATTGAAATATTTATATATTCATTAATTTTCTATCAATATGTATCATTTTGAATGTGAGCCACCATATGTATATACATATATTCACTGGAAAATCGGGTCATGTAGTCTGTATGGATTAGAATCCACGTTGTTCCATTATTATTCGGCGGCTCTTCATTTTTCTTCTTTTTATTCATATTTTGAACACGATTCTGACCTTTTTTAACGTTCGCTAATGACGTCTTCTCATCCATTTCCTCTTAGTCGTTGAAAATAAGTCTTTGATTCTCAATTTTCTTGAGATGATCGTTCATCTTCTAGCATTCATTTATCTACTTTACTATTATCTGTGGATTGCAACTTTCCCCTTATTTAAATATGTTCTATGTGATAGAGAAACCTTCAACTTAACTCAGCCTATAAGAGTCTCTTCTGGACGTATTTCACTCACCTTATCGTGTGGTTTTGAGGGATCCTTATCAGATTTAGTGGATACGTGGAGTTGGACTTTATGATTACCACTTTCCGAAACAGCTGGAGTTAATTTACTATCATTTGAAGTTGAAATTTCATCCTCTTCTGGAGGAGCTAATTTACTTCCAGTTGAGCTTTTTCCCTTTCTTAGAGATGGAGGCATTTCACTAACTCTAGAAATTGGACGTCTAAGCTTCGTTGGAGGTTTGTGTGTTTCATTTCTTTCAGGAATTGGACGTTTAGCCTTAGGTGGAGGTGAAGGTATTTTACTCATCCCTGGGATAGGATGTTTGAACTTACGTGGAGGTGGAGGTATTTCACTCTTACCTGGAATTGGATATTTGGACTTACGTGAAGATGGAGGTATATCACTCCTACCAAGAATTGGATATTTGAACTTACGTGAAGGTGGAGGTATTTCACTCTTGCCAGGAATTGGATATTTGGACTCACGTGGAGATGGAGGTAGTTTACTCCTATCA